ATAGAGGTATAACACCTACTTTTCACTATTTATGTTATGAGTCCCATGTAATAGGGGGTGAGCCTATTGCCATATACCGGGCACAATTCCAGACTCCGTGCTTCTATGAGATATTTTGAAAAAACTCAGTAATACTTTGCTCGACCCGGAACAGCTCGACCAACGAGGCAGTTTTTATCTTATACTAAACTTATCACTACATAGTATAAAACAAAGTCGCTATCCACCGTCTGTCTGTCCCTATGTATGCTTAGATCTTTAAAACTACGCAACGGATTTTGATGCGATTTTTTTAATAGATAGAGTGATTCTTAAGAAAGGTTTATATGTATACTAGCTTTTACCCGCGGCTTCGCTCGAGTCACAAAAGGATAAAAAGTAGTCTATGTGTCATATACCAATACACACAGCGCCATCTATACCAATACTTTAGTTTTCCCTCGGGAATATCAAATTTTTCCGGGACAAAAAGTACCCTATTATTTTATCCAGACTTCTAACTTTACCTCTGCAAAATTTCAAAGCAATCGGTTCAGTAGTTGCGTCGTGAAAGCGGAACAAACAAACAAACAAACAAACTCACTTTCCGATTTATAATATAAGTAAGGACAAGTAAGGATGACATGCATATTGCACCCGTGCGAAGCCGGGGCGGGTCGCTCGTTATGTATAGATGAAGAACTTGTTTATCTATTTTAACTGTAAATGCCTTGTTCACACTACACTAGTAAGTTGGTCGAGTAGCGAGTATTTAGTCGTTTTCTCTTGCATTGATTTCGGTACAGGCGCGAAACATAACTACTAAATACTCGATGCTCGACTAAATTACTGGCGCAGTGCAAACAAGGCATAAGCTATGTATCTAATAATTTTTAATTATTATCTATCTGACCTATTGTATTGTAGATCTATTATAGTATTTTACAGTCCCACCCAAAGTTTCTGCTTGATTGAGTAGTTATTATGGAGTTCCATCCACAAAAGGTTACAGAAATAAATCTTCTTGTATTTACATTGTTATTTATTTATTTATTTATTAGTAGGCATTCTAACAGTCAACCATTGGGTGGTGCAGAATGTTAAAGCGGTAGGTGCAAAATTATAATGAAGAAAGTATGAAGTAGATAATAGAAGTTAAAGTAGTAAATAATCGTTATAATCAATAATACATAAGTATGGAAGATACAGGGACTTACATTAAATTATATATCTTAAATATGCATATATAGGTACAATATTATAGATACAATATTATAGATATAAATACTGAGACTGCCTCGTTGGCCGAGTGCGACTGCCGGACAAGAGGTCTCAGGTTCGATTCCCGGGACGGGCAAAGTATTACTGGGTTTTTAAAAAAAACCTCAGTAGTAGCACAGAGTCTGGAATTTTACGCGGTATATAGCAATAGGCTCACCACCTATTACATGGAACTCATAACATAAATAGTGAAAAGTGGGTGCTACAATAAGTGCCTTAATGTGCACCTCTGCCTATCCCTCCGGGCTAAAAGGCGTGATGTTATGTTGTTGTCGTATATCCTTTTTTATCTTATACTAAACTTAATATATATGGCGGAAAAGTTTATTTATTTGAACACGCTAAGCTAAGTGACCTATTGTATTATGGATCTATTATAATATTTATAATATTTTACAATCCCATCCAAACTATTTGCATTGATTGAGTAGTTATTACGGATTTTATTATCCACAAAAGTCAAAGTCAAAGTCAAAATCAAAATCATTTATTTCAATTAGACCGGGAAGGCACTTTTGAACGTCAACAACAAAAAAATTTAGAAGTGAGTGCTCATTCCAAGGTGTAGATTCCTGTAAAGAAGAACGAGCAAGAAACTCCATAGGTTACTCTTTTTCAATCGGGTTTACAATACAATTCTCTAGTTACATAGTTCTGTTGGTTCGATTGTATGAGAACAATGCAACACCTAAATGCAGTCAAAAGTTTCAGAAAGGTTTCAGAAATAAACCTTCCTGTAATTTCTTTGTTATAATAACTGCATACAAAATAATACATCACACATCGAAATATTGATCGCGTCACAGGACCTGCGCAGTGCAGACAGAACATTCTAGAACTAGACTTGTGCACTCAATGCGACGCCTGCAGAAGGTCCATGTCGCTCAGTGCTCGGGAACAAGCACACAGCAGGACCACAGACACAAATTAATTGAAGCGCACAATTTGTGATTGCAGTCGACACAAACTGTGTTAACTAAAAATCGCGGGTTACTCACGTGAATATACTGAGAAAAGCTCTTCTAGTTTCGAACCGCAAAGAGGTTCTTCCTCATGAGCAGAGTGCGCGGTCGCGGCGATGTCGCATAGCCATATGTAGTTCGAAACTAGTAGAGCTTTTCTCAGTATATTTACGTGAGTAACCCGCGATTTTTAGTTAATTTATTATGTCTCACGATAGTTATTATAAAAACAGAAACTGTGTTGTTTCAACAAACAAGCAGACTGAGGACCTTATGGTGCTGGTGACCTGACTGAATATTAATCGACTGAATATTAAACCTATTAATCGGCTTCGGCCAGAATTGCACCTACGGTCGGACATTACCTGAAAGTGATTAGTCCTGGCCATGGACAGTCATGACACCAAAGAAGTCACAAAATGAAAATAATTTTTGAGAATCAATACACGGTCTTTTCATGAAGATATCTGAACCTAAATTAGTTTTGCTGTACGAGGTAGAAGACTCAGGTCTCGAAATATCTCTAAGTTTTTTTAATAAAAAGTTGCCCCACACTAGGATTTTCTCCTGTGTCGTGGGTGCGTTTACAAACATACAAGTTCACATACACATCACACCCAGACGCGGAACAACAATCTGTGGATCACACAAAGTGTTGTTCCGTGCGGTAATCGAACCCGCGACACGTTGCGCTGCAGTCAGTTGTCCAGCCACCGCGCCATTCGTACTGTTATCGTCTTTTTTTCATCCTTGTCACCTTTACGACTAAGCGACAACTAAACGTAAAGGTAAGGGGTTAGTTTGGGATCGCAGACGGCAAGTACTGGTAGCTCGCCGCCCGACCAGAACCAGACCTGAACGTACGGTGCATCGCGTTTCGCTCGCGCCTCAAAAAGCCATCAGACCACTTCAGATGGGGCCCAGTATGACTAATTCCGATATGGAACCACGAATGCTCCCCCACACTAAGAAACTCTTAGAGCTTAAGAAATGTTTTATAATAACTATCGTGAGACATACTAAATTAACTAAAAATCGTGAGTTACTCACGTGAATATACTGAGAAAAGCTCTACTAGTTTCGAACCACAGAGAGGCTCTTCCTCTAAAGCAGTGTGCGCCGTCGTGGCGATGTCGCGCAGCCTACTCAATTAGTAGTACTTTTCTCAGTATTTTGACGTGAGTAACCCTCGATTTTTAGTCAGCTTAAGAAATGTTTAAGGGTTAGTGGATGGGAGATCCCATTCAAGTATAAAACTTAAAGTATAGACTGCCTCGTTGGCCGAGTGGTCGCAAGTGCGACTGCCAGGTAAGTGGTCTCGAGTTCGATTCCCGGGCCGGGCAAAGTATAACTGGGTTTTAAAAAAAATCTCAGTAGTAGCGCGGAGTCTGGAATCGTGCCCGGTATATGGCAATAGGCTCACCCCCTATTACATGGGACTCATAACAAAAATAGTGAAAAGTGGGTGTTACATTTACAGGGCATAAAGTGCACCTCTGCCTACCCCTTCGGGGATAAAAGGCGTGATGATAGCATCATGCTATGCTATGCTTAAGTATAAAAGTAGTTAAACCTTCTGATTGATATTTTATTCAGTGGCATAAATACCAACTGCTTTGAGCTCATACCAAAGTATTGATCGTGACCTGCGCAGTGCATCTAGACTACTAGACCAGACTTCTCCTGTGCACTCATTGCGCCTCGCGCCATCCGCCGGAGAGGACGTGCCGATTCTTCGAAGCCACATGAAGCTACTGAAGCCCTATCTCCTCATGATCCTAGTACTGCAGGTGAGTCATAATAGTTTCTATTCCGGACCCTACAATAATTGGCATTAAAAGTTGATAGTTTCCTTGTAAGAGATGGCTGTTTTTTCATTGGGTGTCCAGAAAAAGAACCGGTTCGTCGGTTATTTTACCAAGGATCTGTGTTTGAAGGGACATGTCTGTTACTCGTTATCATAATCATCATACCAGCCCCAAGACATCCTATGTCTACTGAACATAGGCCTTCCCTAAGGACTTCGATAGTGACTGGTTTAAAACCACCTGCATCCAGCAGTTCCCTTCATCAGAACATCTATTTTAATTCCAATTTTGTTTACAAATGCTAAATTTCACCAGATTCCTGATGGACGAGCAGCCAGCAGACATCAGCCCAAGTTGTCGCAAGTCGTCAGCGTACCAGCACCTACAGCTCACCAGAACTCAAGGCCTTCTATCACGGTCAGTGTCGGAGACTTTTATTTAGAGACTTTTGACCTTCTATCATCAGGATGAATTCTCATTTGCACCCAAAAAGCTGCTCATGATGATACTAGCCTAACCTCTTGGGTGGCTCCCCGTCCGACCAGAAACAGACCCGAGCGTACGGCGCGTCGTGTCCCGCGCGCGCCTCAAAGAGCCATCAGACCACCACAGATAGGACCCAATAGGGCCGATGACGATTCGGAGTCGCGGAGAACCTAACGGGTAACAGGGGCTCCGGCTCTACGTGAAGAAGAAGAAACAGGGTGGTTTTTAGTCAGTAAGAGTCTGACACTCTCCCGCCTCACCCAGGCGGGAGAAGTCATTCGATGATTTTCCCCCCTTAAAAAAAAAGCCTAACCTCTACACTATGTGAGCTGTTGTATATAACCTATCAATTTACTGCTTCAGGGTTCCTGGTAGACAGCCTCAACATTCTCTGAACATGAATGATGCAGTGTGACCTCATTCGCTGACTTCCCTGGGGTGCAAGTGGCTCCACCATCGCCTTATGAGCCAAAGTCAACCTCACCTGCCCGCGGCGCACCCTGCTGACACACGGACGAGGCTCTGACGCCCCTTGTGAGGCGGAGATGATCATGATCCTCTCAGCCCCCCATGGGCCCATTATGGACTGCGGCTGCATCTCCGTCGCAGACGCGGTACATAATTTCTTAGCTATATATAATATAAACAGAAAGTGCCAGAGGGTTAAAAGTTGATTTCTAGGCTAAGAATATATACTATTGTATAATAAATAATAATAATAAATGTAAATACAAGAAAATGTTGTTTCATTTATTAGAAACTTAGGCCTGCCTTACATAGGACGAAAGAAAGAAAGAAAGAAAAATGGTTTATTGCACCGTAAGAAATTAAAATAAGAAGAATAGAATAACATAATATAACATCACGCCTTTTATGCCCGAAGGGGTAGGTAGAGGTGCACATTACGGCACTTAATGCCACTGTACAATGTAACACCCACTTTTCACTATTTACCTCTATATTACGAATCGCATGTAATAAGGGGTGAGACTATTGCCATATACTGGGCACATTTCCAGACTCCGTGCTACTACTGAGATTTTTTTTAAGACCCAGTAATACTTTGCCCCACCCGGGAATCGAACCCGAGACCCCTTGCCTAGCAGTCGCACTTGCGACCACTTGGCCAACGAGGCAGTCTCTCTTAGAGGCAGAGAATACCCATTGCAATTAGAAAAATATCTACATACAACATAATGAGCTAGACTAAAATTTCCGTTGATTTCGAATTAATAATACCACTGTTCAAACTCAAGGTAGAAATTTGTTCTGAATTTATTAAAACACTTCATTTCATCGACAGTCTATGGCCAGTGGCAGTCCACTGCTGCATTGTAACAGGCTTAACTCTGCCATCGTTTCAAGGAAGAGAACTCCTTGCTTGATGTCGGAATCAAAAATTAGATGGCGCTAGCCTCAAAATTAGATCCAAAAGCCTAGTGAAAATCAAATCACATCAGTCCATGGAATGGTCGATTCGATATTGTTATATCTTCTATGAGTGTCGGTTTTCCGCGTGGGGTTCGCTATATTAGAGTAATAGTTTTGCAAAAATAATTCGGGATTTTTAACATGTTCATCTTCTTCGCTTTGTGGTTCTCGTCTCCTGAAGGCAACCGTTGGCTGAAACAGATAATTTAGTCATACTAATCAGGGGGTCAAGTCTGCTAATTTTATTTAACTCACATGCTATTGAAATTCAATTGAGATTCAATCACGACTCCATTACGATTAGAACAAATTTGGTATTCTGCAAAAACATGAATGTAAACTCAATAGAGTCGTAATGGAATCGTAGTGTAATTGTAATTGACTCTCAGTTGAACAGATAAAGCTGTTGCCATTCAAAATCTATCAAGAAGCTGAATGAGTGAATGAACTATTTTTTTAATTTAAATATACGTTTTTATCATTTTCTGTTATTAAATAACGAATTACATTGTCGGTAATAAATCGCCGATTTAGACCACAATCGATTTACAATTGTAACACGATTGAAGAGCAGACTAGCAAATATTCCGATAGCAGTTCAACGGTATGTCACTGGAAAACCATTGGTCTTAAATTAGTAGCAGAATACCAAATGTAGATAAAACTACTACTGAGATTCAATTGATATTCAATTGAGCCATACGTAAATTAGCAGACTTGGGGCCCAGGCTTGAATCAAGAAATCTCAGTATTAACTTCTTAATCTTTATTCTTCACGCTGATTTGCAGTAAGGCTGTAAGTAAACTCTGGTCGAGCACTCTATTCGTGGCGAAGAGTTTCGTCTTTACAGTATTATACAAAGTACAAACATAACACATAAATACCTGCGTAGGATTATCTTTTACTGAAGATGTAGATACTGTCAAACTGTAAAATAAATGAACTCCTTAATAATACTTCGATAAAACCATATGGAGACGGCAGGGTAGAAGGCATTTGCCATCACCCCTGCTCGTCCCATGGGTGATATGAGAGCTGACTAAAGGACTAGACATTTTGTCAGAGACGGCAGCAGCGTTCTGAGGGTGAGTTGAGAGGGAGTGTCAGGCTCCTATTGACTAAAAACCACCCCGTTTCTTCTCCTGCAATTAGACCCTGAGACCCGGTAACCTTTTACGTTCTCCGCGGCCTCGTACCGGCATCAGCCCTATTGGGTCCTATCCGTGGTGGTCTGATGACTCTTAGAAGCGTACGCGGATTACGACGGCCCGTATGCTCGGATCTCGTTCTGGATGGCGAGCTACCAAACTTGAAGCTTAAACTGCGGTTTTTAAACCTCTGTTGAGCGTGGAAATAACAGCATTCTGTCGTAGCTTTTTATGTGGAGGAAGCCTAGAGTCCATCAGTAGCCTGTTATTGTCTGTTGTTCATAAAAAAAGAAATAATTATATATTGCTGTCAATCTATCAGTCAGCAGTGAACCTGAGCTGATAGGATGACGATGACGTGAACTCACTCGTGGCTGAGAGCTGGCGCGAGGGCAGTGGGGGTTCTCCTCTTAACTGCGATGACGGGCAGCAATATTATCACGCGTTGCCTGCTGCTCGGTTTGGGTATAGCTGTATGCTCGAGGAATTGAGTCGTCATGACTGACTGCGTTACCTCCGTAGGTCCTGGAATATAATATACAAAGTGATACAGAAAATGTGATTGTAGTTATCCAGTTATTTAGTTCTTCGTTGTGCGCGGTTTCATCCGCCACTCGGCTTCTACTGATCACAGCGTGATGTTTTATAGCCATTCCTTCGACTATCTCTACTTAAAAAAACTCGCCATGAATGGCCTAACTCCACCGTAGTGATACCACGGCCTCGCAGAAAACAGAAACAATACTTGCGTTGATTTTCGCCATATGAGCGGGATTACTGAAGGCTCAATCTCCCCTCATCCCCAAGTTTCCAAAAAATCCATCACTGCACTTGTAAAACCTCTAGTGACGTGAGTATCCATGGTTAACTCTGATTGCTTTTCATCAGATGTGATCCAGCTGCTTGTTTGCCACCCTATTATAAAATCGATGCCCTCAAAGTTTATGTGAATAGGGTTCTTATGTGCAAGCGTGATACATCCTTGGCCGCACCATTGTTTATCATCGGGCAAATAAGTTTTTATTTATACTACGAGGGCCCACCTGATGGTAAGCGGTTACCGTGGCCTATGTACGCCTGCAACACTTGGGGCATTACATGCACCTTGCCGACCTTTGAAAAACCAGTTTATTTCCTTTTTGAAGAACCACATGTAGCCTACTGAGAAAACCACGATAGGGAGTTCATTTCACAATCGGAGGATCCGTGAGAGAAAATTCCTCTGAAACCGAACTGTACGGAACCATTTGGGCTCCAATGTGTGAGCGTGAACTCCCTGTCGCTGGCGAGCGGTGCGATGATAGAAAGTGGTCGTCGGCATCATATCAAACAATTGCGCGGACCACAACTCATTATACAAGCGGTAGAACATGCACAAGGAGGCAAGATCTCTCCTTACTTTGGGTTAAAACGTCGACCTAGTAATTATAAAAATAATAGTACATACCTCTCAGGCGTTTGTTCTTATAGACAGGCGGGTCATAAGCTGGTGTAGTAGACTTTGTAGACACAACTGTGGACCAACAAAGTATAATAGGCATATCATGTGTTTAAACCTGTAGATAAATAAGATATCGTATTGCAACTCCACTGTCGAACTGTCGGTCCATCACATACTCTGGGAGAGTGATCTCTGGCAATATGAACGTAACACTATGTTAAATAATTTAATTGTTTCGTCAGGTGTAGCTTATTATACGGACCTTGTGGAATCTAGAACAAATTTCCGTGCGTTTAGGCGCTTTTGCCATACCTATTATTGGAAGCAAGTAAAACAGCTCACACATAGGACCCACTTAGTTTTAGTCAAATTTCCGTGGTGCTTGGCGACTGGACTTCACCCAGTTGTACAGTCTCTTTTTTGTGCCTTTAGGCTTAATTCATTCTGTCTCCTGCAGTAATTCACCGAGGGAAGTGGAAACTATAGTTTTTTCTTCATCTCCTCTTATAATATCTTCTGATTCACTTCGTTATGGGAACCAAGACAGTTACTCATGTCCCTGGGACGCGCCGGACTTCAGTGTCCCGGTGTCTTCATGGTTCTATCTACTGTAGATCCTGGCTTACAGGAGTTGCAGCGGTTTTTGGAGGTTGTAGTGGGCTTGTCCCAATTAAAAATAATAATAATAAGATATCGACGAGGATCGAGGACGTCCTGTGCCCCAATACTAACCGGACTGCGGCGGGACATGTTCACAGAGGCAGTTCTCCGTCTCCAGGGTGAACAGTGGACATCCACATTTCCTGGAGAAATGACGTCCAGCTATCGGCGCTGTTTTGTTGTAAATAGGAGATACGTACATGTAGGGCGCTATTATATTTATATATCTGCATACTACAGAGTCCTGGAAATAATAAAAAGTATATGTAGTAAAGGAGATAATCCTTGACGTTGCTTAGGAACGCTATAAAAGGCGCACTTCTCTCGGTTCTCCGGGATCAACACGTTTGATATTTTTTATGTGTCCTTTCGCGATCTTACGAAATAATTTTATTTCATTGTGTATGGTTCTGATTATTTTAGTGTTGGTGTTTATTTGAATTAATTGTGAGGGTAAAAAAAGGGTAAGACTGCCTCGTTGGCCGTGTGGTCGCAAGTGCGACTGCCAGTCAAGGGGTCTCGGGTTCGATTCCCGGGTCGAGCAAAATGTTACTGAGTTTTATAAAAATCTCAGTAGCAGCACGGAGTCTGGAATTGTGCCCGGTATATGGCAATAGGCTCACCCCCTATTACATGGGACTCATAACATGAATAGTGAAAAGTGGGTGTTACATTGTACATTAAGTGCCGTAGTGTGCACCTCTGCCTACCCCGTCGGTGACAAAAAGGCGTGATGTTATGTTATGAGGATAAAAGTAGTTAAATGTTTTCAGTTTGTTACTTGTTTGTTTTTTTTTAAGTGTTTTTAGTTAATGTTCCCCAGAATAGTGTACTTTGCACAATTTCAGTTAACAAAAATACCATCATCGATAGCTTGTAAAACGCACACGTTTTATAATGGGAATCGTCTGCAAAGATGGGTTTGTCGCGCTTGGCAACCGGGTTAGGGATCTCAGCCAACTCTACAAGACTATAAATCAACTACTTTTTTTGTTCACTTTCAGTTTTCTTGTGCGAACGGCGAAGGAGTGGAACGCTTTGCCAGAGTCTGTGTTTCCTGAAGTTTTGAGTGAATAGATTTCTTATAGGCAGACGTGCTCCATCGTAGGCCGCATCATCGCTTACCACCAGGCGAGATAGTGGTCAAACATTTACCAATAAAAATGTGTACTGTTTGACATTTATAACAGCGTTTAAGTGTAGGAGGGCCATGCTTCGGTACGAATGGACCAACTCGCCCGGAGTGATACCACGGCCGAGCAGAAAACCGACGTGAAACAACGCTTGCTTTGTTTTGTCATGTAAGTGAGGTTACCGGAGGCTCAAATACTACCCAATCTCTGAATCTACAACAATCCTCAAATCCTTAATCCCCAAAAGGTCGGTAACATACTTGTAACGCCTCTAGTATTCCGGGTGTCCAGTGGCGACGCCGATTGCTTACCATCAGGTGATCCGTCTGCTCGTTTACCGTCTTATCTATAAAAAAGCACGCCTGCCCATAAGCAAACTTCATACGATTTCAACTAATGAAATTCTCCGTCACCTAATCAACATTAGCAATCATCAACAGATAATGAAACAGTTTATGGGACCTACCTTTTTCTCATGCTCATGCAAAAACGTTGTCCATCCGCATCCAATGTGACTGACAGCCCCCATAATAAAAAAACTAGAAAGCAAAAAGGTTTTATTATTAACTTTTTTGAATAGGTATGCCCTGGGTATACACCTGCAACAGCAATCAAGTATCTGGTAGTACTCCACTCCTGGTGGAGTGCTACTATATCTAAGGACATTGTTGTGGACTACCAATCATTTAAGGCCCAGGCCATCTCCGTTGCGCTGTGTTACATCGTCACAGCATTGATTTCTAAATAGTGTGGAATTTTGTAATGCCACCTGAAGGGGAAGTACTCTTAATACTTAAAATAGAAAATTTTACTCAAAGAAAACTTTAAACAGGTGATAGAAGATGCATAACGAGACTATGCAGAGCTGAGAACCGGTCTCAAATATCTTGACAGTCGACGATTCATGTCAATTGCGCTATGTAATATTTTACCAGTCATTGTCGAGTTGTGTTTAACGCCATCTGATAGATAATTCTGGAACTATTTTCATGTCCCTATTAGGCGTTAAATTTCTAATAATTACTAACTGATTTCTAAAATAAAAGTAGACTACGTTACATCTTAGCACATTAGCTACGTGCTAATAAAATTCCCGTCAAAATCGGTTCAGCTATTTCAGTGATTAGCCAGTACAAACAGACAGACAGACATAAATTGTAAAAAGTGTTATTTTGGTATATTTTTTTTAAAAAAAAACGTTGCCCCACACTAGGATTTTCTCCTGTGTCGTGGGTGCGTTTACAAACATACAAGTTCACATACACAATGACACCCAGACCCGAAACAACAATTTGTGGATCACACAAAGTGTTGTTCCGTGCGGGAATCGAACCCGCGACACGTTGCACGGCAGCCGGTTGCCCAGCTACCGCACCAACCGTGCAGTCATGTATCGTATGTATAGTGAAACAAAGAAAAGAAAGATTTTTTGTGAAACAAGTGAAACAAGTGAACGGCCTCTTCTCACACGGAGAAGGTTTAACCATTAATTACCACGCTTGCTCATTGCAGGTTAGCGATTTCAAACTTATAATTAGAAATTATAAGCCCAGGTTTCCTCACGATGTTTTCCTTCACCGTTTGTCAGTGCTGTCTAAATAATCTTAGAAAGTACATATAACTCGGAAAAAGTTGCTACGGTACTTGCCGTTGGTAGGTTTCGAAGCCGCGCCCTCGTGATTGAGAAGCGGGCGTCTTAATGTCCACGACATAACATTATGAGTAAAAAATTAAAATTTTCATGAAGAGAAGTTTGGTATATTCTGTACGGTCAAAGGGCAAAAGTCCACTGCCACCGTAAGACTACTGTCGGTTGCGCTGCAGCGCTTATACACACATGCACGCGCATATTTGTATCTGTGTGCGTACTCGTGCGTGTGTTTATGTACATTAATATGTAATACTTACGCATTGCCGTGTGAACATCACTCACGGTGGCAGTGGACTTTAACCTTTGACTGTACCTACTTACTTGCGACCGCCAACTTTGTCAATATTTTCAAATCTCTCCGGATCGAAATGGCTCAATTGTTTAGAAAAGATTTCGGATTCCGTTCCAGTATTGTAGCTATAAAAATAATAGGATCCAGTGTTTCGCTCTAAAATACAAAAAAAAATTCATATTATTCGTATTTAAAGTACTAGACTGCTTCATTGGCCGAGTGGTCGCAAGTGTGACTGCCGGACAAGGGGTCTCGGGTTCGATTCCCGGTTGACCAAGTGCGACTGCCAGGCAAGGGGTCTCGGGTTCGATTCCCGGGTCGGGCAAAGCGTTACTGGGTTTGTAAAAACCTCAGTAGTAGCACGGAGTCTGGAAATGTGCCCGGTATATGGCAATAGGCTCATCCCCTATTACATTGGATTGGGACTCATCACATAAATAGTGAAAATTGGGTCGAAAATTATTTCGATTCCCGCACATTGCAACTTTTAGTGTGATCCACAAAGTGTTGTTTCGGGTCTGGGTGTCATGTGTATGTGAACTTGTATGTTTGTAAACGCACCCACGACACAGGACACAACGCTAGTGTGGGGCAATGTTTTATAAAAAAAAAAGTATGATAATTTTACTCAGAAAATGCCATTGTCACTTGGCTGGCGTGGGAATCAAACCCGAGATATGTTGTAGAGTAGCCGGTCAATCCATCACTGCGCCCACCGTGATGTCGCTTAATGTAACTATAACTAAAGTATCGAGTATTGTCACAAAGTCAAAATCAAAGTCAAAATCATTTATTTCAATTAGACCAGGATGGCAATTTTTAACGTCAACAACAAAAATTTAGAAGTGAAGCTAGTTGCTCATTCCAAGGTGTAGACTCCTATGGAGAAGAACGAGCAAGAAACTCCATAGGTTACTCTTTTTCAATCAGGTTTACAATACAATTCTCTAGTACATAGTTTTGTTGGTTCGATTGTGTGAGAACAATGCAACACCTAAATGCAGTCAAAGAGATTGAAAAAGAAAATAACCTTGAGGACCATAAAATCATACAGTCTGGAGCTGACCAGTCCCAATTGACGGCGCCCGTTCACGAACATGACACGTACCCCAGCACCGCCCAACTCAACTATTTTATAGGGAATCGAGCGATCCAATGCTCGTGTTACCGCCAATGAGACTTTTGAGTGAGACAACTCCAAGCTGACACAAATGCATGCATTCTACTAGTCTAATTTAATTTAATTAATTGCAGGGCTCTCATATTTACAATAGAGGTACACATGGGTACTTACTCAACTGGATACACATTAATTTAGCCGGGACATGACACCGAGAGCTAACGTACTGTGCCAAGCCCGCAGACTCGCTGTCCCACTGCTGGAATATAAGTGTGAAGTACATTAGATGAATAAGAATAAGAACGTTTATTTGCACGAAGTATGGTAATTACAGGTAATCTATACTAATATTATAAAGCTGAAGAATGTTTGTTTGTTTGTTTGTTTGAACGCGCTAATCTCCGAAACTACTGGTTCGAATTGAATAATTCTTTTTGTGTTGGATAGTCTAGTTATCGAGGAAGGCTATAGGCTATATAACATCACGCTACGACCAATAGGAGCAAAGCAATTGGAACTTAATACGAGAAAATAAAAAAATACGTGTCTAATATTTTTTCATAATCTAACTGACGGACTAATCAGATTTTAAATTTTGATACCCTGGAAACTACCCAATTGTCCCCTAATGTATCCTTGGCTTAAATGAGTGCACCTAGTGCAGCACCCAGTCTTTGTAAATAACTAGTTGATTCTGCAACGTCACAAAATACGCGCACGCTGCTCATATGATTTCCTCTGTGACTCGAGAACTTTTAGAAAAAAAAAAACTAGTAGAGCTTTTCTCAATATAATTATTTACGTGAATAAACAGTTATTTTAGTTAATTTAAATTTAATAAATACTTATGAAAAAAACACGTACCACTCGAAATATTCCATATCCCTTTGGATAAAATTTCCCAGTGGAGAATTTTAAGGTTCCGTTGGTTAGCCGAGCTCTGAAACTGAAACAAACGTATACTCTTACTACTATCACAGTCTATACAGTCGTATAACAAAGACATCTAGGCAGGGCGATGCCGATTCGGAGTCGCGGAGAACTTAACGGGTAACCGGGGCTCCGGCTCAACGTGCAGGAGAAGGAACGGGGTGGTTTTTAGTCAGTAAGATTCTGACACTCCCTCCCGCCTCACCCAGGCGGGAGCAGTCATTCGATGATTTTACCCCTTAAAAAAAAAATAGGTACAGTCGTCCAACGAAGACGTCCATAGTCAGAATTTTAATTCGATTCTAGATTTGACATTAGCTACTGTCATTTTGTGAAATAATGATACCACATATAATAGTGTAGTGATGAACACAAAAATCGATAAACAATCAGTGTGTGTGTTTTATAATAAATGTTATAGAAAGTGACAGCGATAGCGATAGCGATGACGCCGACAATTTATAAAATAAATTATTACCATAATACATCTATCTGTTTTATTTGTCATGATTACATTTTTTTATTTATTTCACACACAATTTATAAGACTTTTCTAATTTATTAATCGTCAAAACTATATTATCGGTTCAGAAATATTTAATTTCCTGATATAAGTACTTAGTTTACGAAAGTAAAATTATAAACGAGAAGAATCGATCCAGAAATATTCCATTTCCATATCAAATAATTTCGCAACGTCACTATTTAGTACTTGTCATAATGTTGCAACACTGAAATTGTCAAATCTGGAATTGAATTAAAATTCCGAGTATAGACAGGGCAATCGTGCGGTGTGTGAGAGGCGAGACGCGGGTAGGCCGATCCCGAGCTGCGAACAAAACGATGTTAGTAGCTCGGGATATATTATTCAGGGCTAACGCGTGTTTGTTTTTACTGACTTCAAAAAAGGAGGAGGCACTATGTTCGAATGATTGTTTCCTTTTTATGTATGTTTGCCGTTGCATGAAATTTACAATTGATCGTCATGGGTGTCGTTTTTAAGGTTTTCGAGGGTTGTTAAAATGATGGTGCTGTCAAAATGTAAATCCAAGATGGCCACTGCATGAAAATTGATGGTTTAATTTTGTCCCCTGTCATCATCGCTATATACATTATACATTTCAACATTAACAGCTAGCAGCCATAGGAGGTAAGTAATAAATTTATTCATATAAATCAGTAAATTTTGACCTCAACGGAAAAGAAAGAGGCTTTTTAACGATAGTAATTGTAACTCACAGTCTGACTGCAGTGGAAAGTGGAAAACACAGCCGGCGGCCATTACAAATTCACTGCGCGTCACAAAATGGCGGGATCTTGAACTTGGCGCGTAATTTTTACCGCCATTAGTAATGATAGCGATTTAAAGCTAGTTTTAACTATATCGTCTAATTGTTTATAGATGTCAATTGAAGGTTTTATTTTGGGTAAACTCGTTTTTTTTATACCATAAGCCGGTAAGCGAGCTGACGGATCACCTGATGGTAAGCAATCGACGTTGCCCATGGACACTTGGAACACCAGAGGCGTTACAAGTGGCCTTTTGGGGATTATGAGTTTAAGGATCGTTGGGGATTCAGGAATTGGGGAGATTGGGGAAGGGGAGGGTAATTGGGCCTCCGGTAACCTCACTCACACGACGAAACACAACGCAAGCGTTGCTTCACGTCGGTGTTCTGTGAGGTTATTACCATATTCAATGATTGCAAAGAAATTATGTTTCTTTATGAGTGAGACTTGTGCAGGTACCGAAAAGTTTGCTTCAAAATGGAAGGTTTTAATTAAAACTACATCGCCACTTAGCCATTGGATAAATAGCTGAGAAACTAGATATTTAAATATCAAATCACTTACTTGTTTATCGCATCCAGTAGTTTTGTAACTTGATCTTGTGTAAACTGTATATTTTTAGCGTTTTTATTTTTACAATTTTCGCCATATTCAGTTTTCTGTAAGTTGTAATATTTTTTATAATTAAATTAATAAATTATCCATCAGCAACTTGCTTTTCACTCGACTTGTCGATTCTGAGGTACCGTACTACAAGTATGTGCCCGATCCAGTTCTCGAAAACCATATCACATTGTACTCCGAACCGGTCTATCATTACTGACAGGACTATTGTAGCCAATAAACCTGACATAGTAGTGATAGACCGACAAGTACGCCGCACGATGGTAATCGATATCACCATTCCCCATGACGAGAACCTCGTGAAAGCTGAGAAAGATAAACAATTATAATATCTAGACTTAGCTCACGAGGTTGTCGACATGTGGAGGGTGGACTCGGCTACCATTGTGCCGATAGTCGTGTCGGCCAATGGGTTCATTCCTAACAGCCTCGACATCCATATTAGGAGACTGGCGTTTGGTGGATGGGTCAAGGACCTGATGCAGAAGGCAGTTGTCCTGGAAACGGTTTGTTTAGTTGGGAGGTCGGCTCCTAATATTTTAAGTAGTATTTAAAAATGTAATTTTAGGGAAGCTGTACTATAATAAAACTGTAGAGAGGTCAATTCTGTACATGAAATATATTTCCAAAATAACTATCAAATTAAAAAAAGGAAGATAAAGTTGCGTTATACATATTTGCATTGGATAGGGGGCGCTAGGATCGTATATAATCGGGGGAATTGCACAACTTGATTCCCCCTAGTCCTTTCCATCATCGTACCACAAGACAATCGGCGAAGCGTCACCGATTCATGGTAGATGTTCCGCCCACACGCACGAAGCGCTTCGCTTCAAGCTTCCTTGTGCGTACTACTAAAGAGTAGAATTCTTTGCCAGAGTCTGTATTTCCTCAAGGGTTATAACCTGGGAGTCTTCAAGGCCCGAGTGAATAGGTTGCTTATGGGACGACGTGCTCCATCGTATCATCGCTTACCACCAGGCGAGATAGTGGTCAAACGTCGCCCTAATCAAATATAAAATATATATATATATATAAAATACTCACGCCGTATTTACACATCCCGAACTCGTCAGGATGACAGTTATGCTCTTTCCGAACACAATATTCGTCGTACCGTTTTAGTACGTCCTCATATAACTGCGCGAACATTTCTTGTATAAATATTGTCAATAGGAGCACCTGTAACATTATTATTATTATTTATAACATAAGATGGCGGACTTAATGACGGGTGGCATTCCCTAACAGTCAACCATGGGGTGATGCAGAGATGTGCAACGGTAGGTGTAATAGGTATTATGGTTTACTTTATGTGTTTATTTAATTTTGTGAGAAAAGATAAAACACGTGTTTAAAGCTTTAAATTAATGTACCAGACGGACATTAAAATAAAATTTAGGAAACTACCCTAATAGAAATTATAAGCCCAGGCCTTACGATGTTTTCCTTCTCCGTTTGTCAGTGGTGTCTGAATAATCTTAGAAAGTACATAATATGCTAAATACCTACTCACAAGAGTATATTTTGACGCCATTTTTGAGTGACACTTACTATCAAATCCAGATAGAAACAATAGATATGTATGCAATAGCTACAAAATAAAATAAAATAAATAATTTATAGGGAAACAATAAAATATTCAATTTTGTTTTAGTATTCAATCGTTTCACAATGTAATACAAGAGATAGCCGCGACTATGCCTGCACTGTGTGTTAGTAGCTTTTATTGAGGATAAGCTTCTGCCCGCGACTTCGTACGCGCAATCCCGTTTTCTTCCATTCCCGTAGGATTTTTATGCCTTAACCCTTTGAGTACCGTCATTATAGACACAATTAAAGAACAATAGGTTGCGGTCACTGGTGTCCTCGCGGTGTTTGACAGTTTAATAACCTTCTCCTGACAATAACAAAGACAACAAAAAGATCAGTCAAATCGGTCTAGCCGTTCTCAAGGCTATGGCGTGACAACGGGAAACGGGTTTCATTTTTATATATGTACCTACTAGCAAACCCGGCGAACTCCGTTTCACCACCAGATGGCTTCGTTTTATGTAACACTAGCTACTTCTGCACGGTTTCACTCGCTCTGCTTGGCGCCTATTAATCGTAGCGTGATATTTTATAGCCTATGGCCTTCCTCGATAAATGGGCTATCCAACACAGAAAGGTTTTTTCAAATCGGACCAGTAGTTTCGGAGATTAGCGCATTCAAAAAAACAAACTCTTCAGTTTTATAATATTAGTATAACAAGATTTTGTTTGGTGATTGAATTTTTTTTCACCTCACGGAGCCCGAGACCTTTCCAACGAATGTAAAACCGTGGAAATCGGTTCGTGCGTTCTGGAGTTATAGCGTCAGGAAGGAAAACCCGACTTATTTTTATATAGTAGAAGATATAAGATAAGATGTGTGTGTATGTGTATTATGTAAGTATGTTTGTTACTCTTTTATCCGAAAACTGCTGAGCGTATCTGAATATAATTTGGACAAAGTAATTGTGATGCGTAGCTTCTTTTCTCGTCATATTGATTTTAGTATAACAATGTAACAAGAGAATTGTATTGTGAACCTGATTGACAAAGAGTAACCTATGGAGTTTCTTGCTCGTTCTTCTCCATAACAATCTACACCTTGGAATGAGCAACTAGCTTCACTTTTAATTTTATTGTTGACGTTCTGAAGTGGTCTAATTGCAATAAATGTTTTTGACTGCCTCGTTGGCCGAGCTATAATAAAATACCAAATAGCATCTAGTATATATGTAGTAAATAGTATTATAGCATTTAATACACAACCTCATAAAGGATTTCTGTACCTTGGACAGTCTGAATTGCGGTATAGGTAACTTACTTTTGCCTCTAGAATCAAAATTGTGTCTATCGCTTCTTTTTTCAAACAATTGCCTATTTTTACTTACATACATTATATTTTCATATATATATTGACAGGGCACCGTTAAGATATTTATCGTTTTAAACAATACTCTCAGCAATTCTCAGCCCGCTTTCATAGAATAAATATTGATTCTATTTCTGCAGCTCGATCCCACAACCAAATTCCGTACGACATAATGCTGTGGAAATAGCTAAAACTTGCTGTATCTACGTCTGTGAGCTGTCTAATCGGTCTAACTGCAAAAGCATCTGAGCTCAATCTCCTCGAAAGCGTCTTTATATGCGGACCCTATTGTAGCCTATTGTCTAACGTAATGCCTAAAAAACTAAAAATACCGTCTCGTCGACTAATTCAAATTTTTGACCGTTCAAAACAAAATCACAATCGTTACTACGCACGTTTGGTAAACTAAATTTAATACATTTGGTTTTTTTCTCATTAAGTGCTAGATTATTAATGGTGAACCAATTATGCACTCGAAGAATGGAGCTGTTTACGTCATTTTGTCGATCTATTTTAAAAATTAATGATGTACCTATCATTTGCAAAAAGGACCATTCTTGGTTCATTTTTTAATATAAGTGGCAAATCATTTATATAGACTAAAAAGAGAAAGGGACCCAATATTGAACCTTGAGGAACGCCCATATTCATCACAGAGCCCTGTGAGTTAATACCGTTAACATGAACCTTTAACTGTTTTTCTTATAAATAAGATTTCATAAGACGGAGCGCAGAGTTCCCGTAGGTAGTGATCTAATTTCAGCAAAAGTGTCTCGTGGTCAACGCAATTAAATGCTTTTGAGAGGTCACAAAAGTCACCAATAGCATCCTGTGCTTCCTCCCAAGCACTAAATATTTCCTTAATCAAAGTGACACCGGCATCAATTGTGCAACGACCTTTAGTGAAACCGTATTGTTGTTAGTGAAAGATAGAATGTTTATTAAAGTGATGAAGCATCCGAGACACCATCAACTTTTCAAAGACTTTGCTGAAAACCGGCAAAACAGATACAGGCATATAGTTGTTAAGTTCTTTAGTGTCACCACTTTTAAATAGTGGGATAACTTTACTATATTTAATTAGGTCGGGGAAAACACCGTCATCTATATATTTATTGAAAATCACAGCCAGATATGGCGCTACAGTTTGTTTGAGTGACTTGCAAACTTTTACCGATAATCCCCAAAGATCCTCCGTTGATTTGGACTTGATTTCTTTAAAAACTTTTATAATTTCCAGAGCATTCGTATATCGAAAACTAAAGTCGCGTTGACATGATTCTATGTTGTTCTTAAGCAAAGTTACAGAGAGGTTTGCTGATGACTTTAAATGTTCAGTCGTATTAATAGGAATATTGGTAACAAAATTTTCTACATCTACATCTACTGCTACATCTACGTTTGATGAAATCTGTCCCCTTTCGGTATTTAAATTAAATTTTGTAATTCTCAATCTTTTCCTACCAGTCTCGTTGTGAATAACTTTCCGAGTGTTATGTACATATTTAATAATGATACCCGTGCGACGCTAAGGGTGGACAGTGAACAAGTTTGTATTGATCCTGACCTGCGCAGTGCATTCAGAATATTCTAGACTTCTAACCCTTGCACTAAATGCTTGATTGGGCCCCTGGTAATCTTACTCGCACGACGAAACACAACGCTGTGGTTGTTCCATGTCGGTTTTCTGCTCAGCCGTCGTATACCTCCGGTCAAAACGGCCCATTCGTGCCGAAGCATGGCTTTCCCACACTTTATTGTAAAGTAGTTGTGATGCGTAGGCACTTGACGCAAAAGTATGATGATGTTTGTATGTTTTTAAAAGGTTTTATTTAGCTCACCCCGTTTGTTTTATTTATTACTAGCTGTTACCCGCGACTTCGTCCGCGTGAAATAATGACTTCTGTATAAATTGGGTTTTTTAAATTAGTCTTTGTCAAGGTATATTCTATGGCTGTACAACTGGAACAAATATCATCACAATCGATTCAGTACCTAGGTTATATTTATTGAGAAATTAATTAATTTTCGTGGTTTCTAAAATAAACAATCCCATAGAAGTTTTACCCGTACAGTGCCCGTCTCGTGAGGTTTCACTATTCTATGTTTGCAAATCAATGTTGTATCGCATTTCAATCAAATAGATATAGTGATTTTAACAGCACAGTTCCCGGTTTCGTGGGTTTTTCGGGTTAAAAACTTTTAGATGTCCTTTCCCGGGTCTCAAACTATCGCTGTACCGAATTTCACCAAATAGGTTCAATGGTTTAAAAGGTAAGAGCCCCTCTTTATTTCAACGTCCTTGGTCCTGGTTTTTTAGCGCATAGTTTCCGTCATTTTGGGATTTCCTCTCTCCTATAATGTGACCTGATATGTACCGGTGCGACGTGCGTTACTATCGCAAACATTTCAATGAAAAAATAGGTATTCTGATATTAGGTTAGTTACATATGATACATGTACTTTAATGTTGATATTAATGTCCTCTATAAGACTTAATACATCCCTTTGCTCTATTGTCCATAATTTCCACAGCGTAATCAATACCAATAATATAAGGAGTTTTTTTGGTAGTTTTTCACACATCGGGTTGTCATTACCTAAAGATTTTTTTTGAGGTCGGAAAATCATCCAATCACTTCTCCCGCCTTGGGTTAGGTGAGAGGGAGTGACAGATTCTTACTGACTAAAATCCACTCCGTTCCTACTCCTGCTCGTCGAGCCGGAGCCCCGTCAACTCGTTAGGCCTCCCGCGGCACCGTATCGAGCATCAGCCCTACTGGGCTCTATCTATGATGGTGTCATGGCTCTGTAAGGCGCGCGCCGTATGCACGGGACTGGCTCTGGTCGGGTGGCGAGCTACCCTTGCCCTTCGTCTACAGACCCGCACTTACGGTGGCCGGTGGCCGGCCGATCTCCGACGCCCAGAGTGTCTCCCGCGACGGCTGGGGCGTGAGGAAGTTCATTCCCTCACGCGCTCCGCTTTCTCCTTGGTAAGCATAAATGCTTCGCAGAAGGATGCGACTGCATCCCAATCCCCCTCGCTCCATGGCCTGAACCAGAGCCGAACGCGAGAGGTCACCGTTTCCTACATCCCTGAGAACACGGCGGTGCTCAGCCCATGCAAGGTACACCGCCACGGTATGCTCCACCGTGTTCTCCGGGCGGTCCTTGCATTGATGGCCTCTCTAAAGCCACTTTTAAAGAGGGGACTTTCCGCTGCAATGACAGCGAGCCCAGCCCTCGGTTACCTAAAGGAGTGTTTCGCTGTGTAAGTGAGGTTACCGGAGGCCCAATTACCCCTCCCCCAGCCCCCCCAATCCCTGACAATCCTCAAATTACCAATTCCCAAAAGACCGGTAACGCACTTCTAGCACTTCTGGTGTTACAGGTGTCCATGGGCGGCGCAGATTGCTTACCATCAGGTGATCCGTCTGCTCGTTTACCGGCTTATGCCATAAACAAACAGCAAACTATCATAGTGAATTTGGCCTTGACGGTCTAAAGTGAAAAGGACTAATATTATTTTTTAGCTATGTGCATTTAGCTAGTTTTTTTGATATATACATATAAAAAATACGAATTCAAGTAAACTGAAAATATTTTATTCGTGGTTTTATCTCCTCAGACTGCTG